AATAAAAGGCTAGTATGCAAATAGACTGAACAGTGTAATGACTGGTCATTATGACATGCACTGACCACCAGAGGCAGAAGCTCAACACAGGAGCTGCCCCTGGTGGCCAGTGCACTCCCACAGGAGAAGCGATGCTCAGCCAGAAGCCGGGCTCATGGCTGGTGAGTGCAGCAGCGGTGGCTGCTAAGGATGTCCGACTGCCGGCTTAGGCCTGCTCCCCACAGCAGGCAGTCAGATATCCCCCAAGAGCTCCCAGACTGCAAGAGGAAACAGGCCAGGCTGAGGAACTCCCCCTTCTACCCCTCCCCCCAGTGCACAAATTTCATGCACCGGGCCTCTAGTGTACCAATAACATGGGTTCCCAAACTGTGTACTCAGATGAGGTACCTCATGACACCACAAAACCCTCAGAGGCCCCAGGAAACAGTTGAAATTATGAGGAAGCAGCAATGCTAGGGATGTAGCTATACCTTACCTCAGGTATTGTTTCAATATTAGATCATAACTCATTCCTTTCAATGATGTCATCATAAAACAGGTGGTGGTGTGATAAAAGTACCACCAAAAAAAAACACAAAAAACAAAGAAGGTAGCAGTGTCCAATTTGACCCCCGGATTAGAGAAGTCCTGCAGTGCCCAAGAGGTGCAACCATCCTACTAGTACGTTGCTGTGGTTATCTAAGAATGAGATAAACTTTTCCCCCAACTAGTATGTGTTTTTGTTCAAATAGCTGTTAGGATATAATACTTAATAAAATTATTTGGACCTAACTACTTAATAAATGAAATTATTATCATAAGTATTCTTTTTGCCGAAACCGGTTTGGCTCAGTGGATAGAGCGTCGGTCTGCGGACTGAAAGGTCCCAGGTTCGATTCTGGTCAAGGGCATGTACATTGGTTGCAGGCACATCTCCAATGAAGGGTGTGCAGGAGGCAGCTGATCGATGATTCTCTCTCATTGATGTTTCTAGCTCTCTATCCCTCTCCCTTCCTCTCTGTAAAAAAATCAATAAAATATATATATTTTTTAAAAGTATTTTTTACCTAAGTGCCAGGAAAAATTTCTGAGACACTAAAGCCATCATGAACAGCCAAAGTTTAGGAATCTCCCCTCAGTAGCTAACTTTTTGCACACCGAGCACTCTTCTGAGTGCTTCACAGAATTCATTCTTCTAACCCTATTTCCCCTATCAGTTTGGTTCTATCACTATCCCTAGTTCACAGAGAGGATGAGATTATGGAACGCTCTCTAAGTCACACATATAAGCCCTGATTTTAACCAGTCACAGGTAGAACTGGCAAATAAAGCAAGGTGAGCACATATGGTAGTGCCTGCAGCCCCTGCCCTCCAAATATACTCCAGGGAACAGCCGAGGTTCCTAAGGAGAACTGCTGCTCCCACTTCTCAATTGCTGATTTGCTATTGGCTTAAGAATCCAATATGGCTGAAACCGGTTTGGCTCAATGGATAGAGCGTCAGCTTGGGGACTGAAGGGTCCTGGGTTCGATTCTGGTCAAGGGCATGTACCTTGGTTGAGGGCATATCCCCAGTTGGGAGTGTGCAAGAGGCAGCTGATCGATGACTCTCTCTCATCGATGTTTCTAACTCTCTATCTCTCTCCCTTCCTCTCTGTAAAAAAATCAATAAAATATATTTAAAAAAAAGAATCCAATATGGACAAAGACTTGCATTTATGTGTATTGATTTTTTTTTAAAGTTATTTTTCTGGTAATGAAACTGAGATAGTAGCTAAGTCACAAACACTGTATTTTCAGGGTTGGTGGAAAACTGTGATGTGCAAATTTTAATACTTTAACTTACAGGGGGAAACACAGATTCCAACCAGATAAAAAATGTTACAGATTTGCTCATTTTTGTTTGCCTTTTTCTCCCTTTCAAAACTTGTAATATAAAATCTGGAACCCCAAATACAGAGATTCAGACAAAGGAAATAGGCAATATAAGATGTGACTGATGAGAACAGAGCCTTTGGACAGTGTCATTTTTCAGATTCTATATAATCCCATTTGGATAGTATGCGCCATTCTAGGTATAATGCTGACACTCAGCAAAGAAAGGTTACATCTGAGTGGAATCCCAACAACTGTCCATGAACAAGATAGCTGGAAAAGGAATTTACCTTTCCTAACATTTCCTTGGATCAGAAACCTAAGTAAGTCTATTCTAAACCAAAGAATTGACCCAGAGATGGGGGTGGGTGGGGGGGTGGGGAGGAGGAGGAGGTGGGGGACGACGACTAGGCTAAAACAAATTTGGATCAAATGGATCTGCTGGATTTCAGTTTCACTGTGTATTTTTCATGATTAATAAATTACACTACAGGTATTCAAACTGCTATGATTAGGTAATTCATCACCCAATGTCCTCACGTTATTAGTTCCACTACTATTCACCTAGCATCCCTGCCAGATCCCCTGCTGAGGCAGTCACTGCTCCAGAGGTAGACGGCAGGTGCAAACACTTTTAACTATGGACGAAGGCCATTAAAACTTTTAGGTAGCTTCAGAAAATTAATTCAGCAGGTTTTCAAGTAACAATGAATTCCCCCTAATCTCTGGGGACTTTCCATTCTTCTCATGGCCACATATAAACAGTTCCTAAATTTGCCTGAAACAATTATATTCTACATTCTTCTCAGAAAGATCTACGCACAATTCATTTTCCCTTAAGATGTTCTAAATTCTATGAAGAAGAAAAAACTGAAAACAAGCATAGACTCCACTTTCACTTTAAAGTCAACAAACACAGGCCTCCTACGGGCACAATGGCTAGGTAAGTATTCAAGAAGATGTAAATGGACTCTTGAAAACAAAGACAACTATGTACATAACAGCAAAAACTATGAAGCCTCTGGATGGATTTTTTAAAGCGATTTCCCCCCTCTCTTTGCACCGCTTGGACTAGCTCCTCCCTCCAAGCATGTGCAGCTGAAAGAATGGAACAAGGTAAAGTATGAAGTTAAACCAGGACAAGTGCCACCAAAGCTCAGCCCGGAGACACCAAAATGCCATTTTAAGGCTGAACTGTGAAGGCAGCCTTTCAGCCCTAGCTGGTGTGGCTCAGTGTATAGAGCATTGGACTGAAGGGTCTCAGGTTCGATTCAGGCCAAGGGCACATACCCGGGTTGCAGACTCCATCCCCAGTGCGGGGCATGCAGGAGGCAGCCGATCCATGATTCTCTCTCATCATGGATGTTTCTATCTCTCTCTTCCTCTTCCTTCCTCTCTAAAATCAATAAAATATATTTTAAATAAATAAATATGAAGGCAGCCTTTCAAAGTTTAAAAAAATCTTTAACTTCCAAAGGGGTCTTTCTCACCTTTCAAACTAACTTTCTCTGAAAGTTTACTGATGCCGCTTTCTTTTCTGAGGTGCCTTTTAAGTTGGATACCGTCAGTGCACATAGCATTAATCAGGGGCAAACCTCCCCCAATGTAACAAACCTCAGCTGTCCTGCATGTGCATAAGAAACTACACAGTAACAGGACTCAGACACAGACTACTGGTCACATTGAATCCAACAGAGCTTTAGGGACTTCTCAGAAATATATAGTCACACATCTATAAAAACACACTATTAAAAGTAAACTAAGGGGTACGAGATGTGATTAGATATGTGGGTGCCCCTTCCAGCAGCGTTTATGCAGCATGCACAACGTGCACACCACCTGGGGAGAAGCTTCGGGACACCCCCCCCCCCCCCCCCCCCCGTTAAGACTGCACTGAGCATGGCACCGGCTCCTGAGCCCTGAGGATCAGAAAGCCCCTGGGAACTGCAGGGCCTCCAGGTCAACCCCGCACACCCGTCCTCTCCCACTTAGGTGCAGTCCTGAGTAAGACTTTCAGTTACAAGTACTGGGTGGGGGGGGGGGGGGGGGCGAGGAGGGAGCAAAGAGCTACGGCTGAACCATTCAAGTCTCCAAGTTGAGATGAAACTGTTCATTTCCCTAAGCAAGTTTACCAACTAAAGATGAAGTAGCAAACTTTAAACATACAATTTCTCGGGGATCTGACAAGAGGGAGCATACAAGGAGTATGTTCATTAATAAAAAAGAAAAAAGAAAAAGAAAAAAGAAAAACAGGAGGAAAGAGAGAGATGCACACACGGTCTTCTATGGCCTGGCCACCCAGATTTTGCTGTCGAAGTGCTTCCTTTCAGAGCACAGAACACCTCTCTGCAAGTCTCGAAATGCCAGCCAACATTTCAACCCTTCTCATTCGTTATTTTTTCAGTATTTAATTCTAAAGCTATGGCTGTACATATTAGGAGGGATTTCTGTAACAGGAACACAATTCCTCTGGGTATGCATAAATGTGGCAAAAGGGGGGAAAGGGGGTCCGCAGGTCTAGTTGTACGGAGTGTGGATTCACAAGTGGGGGCCTTGCTAACCTCTATGATCTCATCTGTGAAATGGGTTTCTCCCCGGCAACACATCCGGGCAGGCGAGAACATACCGGCCGGGGCCATAAACCCAAGGAGCAGATGCGCACGGCGCAGCCCCGGCCCGCCGACCCGGTTCGGCCCGGAACGGTCGCGCCCGTGCAAGACGGACTGCCTGCGCCCTTCATTTAACACTTCACTCAAGTACCAACACGGTAAACGCACGCAAACTTCTCCCACGCTCCCGTCTGCGAGCCCCGAGGGCCCTCCCCGGGGTCGGGGAGCGGTGTGACCCGGAGGACAACACGACCCCCGGCCGGGAGGACGGACCCTGCGGCGGCCGCAGGCCGAACGGCCGAGCCTGGGAAGCGCGCCGGCGCCGGGCGCGGCTGTCAAACTGCACGAAACGGCCCGGGACGGCGTCTTCCGCGGGGTCAGAGGTCGCTCGGGCCCGCCGCCGCCGCCGCCGCCGCCGCCCCGGCCACACCTCCGTCCAGGGAGCGGCCCGGCGGGGTGCGAGGGGGCGAGGGGCCGGCGAGCCTGGGCCGGGCAGCCTGCGGCGGCCGCCGCCCCCTCCCCGCCGACGGGCACTCACAGGTGACGATGGGCTTGTTCTCCATGGTGTAGATCACCGGCGGCAGCGGCTCCTCAGGGGCGTCCATGGGCGTCCGGCGTCACCGGCCCGGCCCCCCGCGCCCCATGGGCAGCCCCGAGGCCGTACCCGGCCAGCCCGTGCCCGAGCGGCGCCGCCGGCCGGCCGCGACAGCGACGCCTGCCCGGCAGCGGGAGGAAGATTCCCGGCCGGCCGCCCGCAGCTGCCGGCGCATCCACTTCCGGTACCGGCGCTGACTGCCGCGGGACCACTTCCGGGACGCGCGTCTTAAAGGGGAGGGCTCCCCGTCTGCGCTGGCGCTGCCCTCCGACCGAAAGGCAGCTTGGCGGCGCGGAGAGCAGAGAGGGAAAGCGGGCGGCGGCCGAAGAGCCGGAGGCGGCTGCCCACATCGGAGCGGAGCTGTAGCAGCTGCAGGGCTGGGACCGCCCCTGAGACCCGCGTCTCCCCTGGGTGGACCCAGGACCTAGCCTCCCGGAGCGGAGAGGACGCTGCGGGGCTCCCAGAACATGGTTAACCCCTCCCGGTGTGCATGACCTCCAGGGTGGGTGCACATGGCCTAGAGGACTCCTCCATCTCCCCGCCCCTCCATCGCACCCGATGACCCAGGCGGCCCCAGCCCCACCACACAGATCCCCCAGGTGGGGGTGGCAGCCAGGGTGGGGGGCGGGTCACTGACAACTTCTGGACACAGACACGACCCGGGAGCCACTGTGGACTTGGGATGACCCTAGGGGTTGTTGGGGAGGAGGAGGAGGTGTCACTGAAAATGGCTTGTGGACACGGGCATGGCCCTGGGGTCACTGACAGCATGCGGTCAAGGGTGACCCTAGGTGACAGCGGCATGTGGACACAGGTGACTTCTGTGCGGGCCTGCCGCCATCGCCTGGCCTTGTTACCTTTACCCAAGCTGGAGGTCTCAGGAGGAACCAGTTAGGGCGCCGGTTAACTCCCACCGCTGGGCTGGAGGCAGTTAGCCCTTGCAAAACCCTCTGTCTCGTGCTTTCTTGTGACTCGGGTGTTAGGAAGTCATAGTGCCCTGAAGTAGAACAAGGTTACTGCCTTCTCACTATAACCAAAGACCCTACAGCCCGGCACCCCAATGCTTCCCCAGACTCACCTCGGAGCCCGCCTTGCCACAGATCTTTCCAGATGGTTGGAATGAACGCCTTTCTCTCTGAATGTCCACAGCATGTTGATGCCTCTCCTGTTAGTACTCGTTTCCTGTAGCCCTGGCCGGAACACTTTTGAATTTAGGGACCGTGCCTTTTACTTCATCTCTAACTGCCCCCCACCCTCCACCCAGGTGCACAGGACCTTCCATGGAATAGGCAGTGGTACACATTTTGGGAACGCCACAAAATGAATCCTTACTTTTAACTGCATGTAAGTTTCTTGTGTAAGGAAAGTACATTTAAAGTAACTTTTTAAAAATATATGTTTTATTGATTTTTTTACAGAGAGGAAGAGAGTTAGAAACCTTGATGATAAACATTAATCAGCTGCTTCCTGCACACCCCCTACTGGGGATGTGCCTGCAACCAAGGTGCATGCCCTTGACTGGAATTGAACCTGGGACCCTTCAGTCCACAGGCCGATGCTCTATCCACTGAGCCAAACCGGTTAGGGCTAAAGTAACTTAAAAAAAACAAACAAACAAAAAAAAACAGAATCTTGTTTTAATCTGATTTTTATAAATATTTTTATTGATTTCAGAGGGGAAGAGAGCAGGAGAAAGAGATAGAAACATCAATGATGAGAGAGAATCATTGATTGGTTGCCTCCTGCACACCCCCTACTGGGGATGGAGCCCACAACCCCAGGCATGTGCCCTTGACCGGAATGAAACCTGGGACTCTTCAGTCTGCAGGCTGGCACTCTATCCACTGAGCCAAACCAGCCAGAGCTAGAGTAACTTTTGCAAAGGAAATAAAGTAAATGTACATGTGAAATAGTTTGAGTGTGAACACAGCTGCTACTTGTTGGTAGTGTAGCATGGTGCATTGTAGTGTGGAGGCGAAAATCAGTGCTAGGGTGGCTGGCACCCCTGAGGCAGGCAGAGCACTAGGAAGGAGCTAGGCGGGTTGGAGAGCCAGAGTCAAGGGGGGTTAGGGGGTGCTGTAAGTCCTTGGCTTCTGCTGGATTCAGCATGTGTAGGATGAGATTCCATGTGGCTTACCAGGAAAAAGCTATTGCAGAATTGAGAATGGCACAAAGACTGGAGGCCAAGCAGAGCGACAGAAAAGTCCTCATTGATATCTCATTAACATTCAGTTCAGCTGGGACAGTAGCTTGAGGACCATATACATCCCCAGGGGTCAGCCGACTTTGTCTTTGAAGGCCCAGATAAGTATCACAGGCTTTAGGGCCATATACAATTTCTGTCTCAAACGTTTCCTTGGGATTTTTAAAAACTATTATCTAAAAATATAACAATTAGCTCTGACCAGTGTGGCTCGGTTGGTTGCGTATTGTCCCATGTACTGAGAGCTTGCTGGTTCAGTCCCCAGTTAAGGAACATACACGGGTTTCTAGTTAAATCCCCAGTAGTAGGCATGCAGGATGCAGTGGATCGATGTTTCTCTCCCTTTCCCTCTCTAAAATCAATAAAAACATTTTTTTAAAAAAAAATTATGTATATATAAACTTTTCTTAGCTCAACAGCCATACCAAAACAGGCCAAGATGTGGCCTGTGAGCCATCTCTAACCCTGCTCTAAATAAGGCTGCACTGGACCTACCATAACCAAGTGTAAAGCAAAGCTTGACAAGATCTGCAAGAGAGATTTGAACATTGGCTCCTGCCAAGTAGGGGACACCATGGACATTTCTCAGATCCAGCCTAACAAGGAATAAAACCAAACCTGTCAGAGGTCAAGGTGATAAAGACAGTAATTGACCTGCCAGCTACAAATGCCAGAACTCTTCTATGGAAGATGGTCCAGAATCTGTACATGTATAACTGAGCGATGTCCAGTACACACACAAAAAAATGTACTCGACATGCCAAACCACAAAGTGTAAACCACAGTCAGGAAAAAAGAAGTAGTCAATAGAAAGCAACCCCTGTATAGCCCAGATGTTATATTTACAGATAAAGACTACACAGCAACTATAATAGGTGTGTTCAAAGAATTAAATGAAAATATGGTCTTAATCATTAAAGACTGCAGAGTAATAACTATTAAAAAAAAGAACAGGCAGTCTAGCCCTGGCTGGTGTGCTCAGTGGTTAGAGCACCAGCCTGCACACCGAAGGTTCGCTGGTTCAATTCCTGGTCAAGGGCCTGGGTTGTTGATTCCATCCTCCATCTATGGGAGGCAAACAATTGATGTGTCTCACAGTGAAGTTTCTCTTTCTCCCCCTCCCTACCTCCTTTCCACTCTCTAAAAATCAATAGAAAAATATCCTTGGATGAGGATTAATAAAAAAAAAAAAAAAAAAGAAGAAGAAGAAGAAAAAAAAGAAGTACTAGAACTGAAAAGTACAATTGAAATGAAAATTTTACTGCATTGGCTTAACAGCAGATTGGAAATAGCGGGAGGAGTCAGTGATCTTACAGGCAGATCAATACATATTTTTCAATCTGAGGTAGAGAAAAAAGATTGAAGAAAAAATCAACAGAGCCTTAGAGAACAGGCAGACACTTTATTTGAAAAAATTATGACCAGAGTCCACAAATTTGATGAAAAAGATTGATTTATAGATCAAAAACTCTGCAAAACCTCAGAACACGTACTAAGAAAAACACATACAGGCACATCCCAGTCAGACTGTTGAAAACCATAAAGAGAAAGTCTTGAAAGCAGCCAGCAAATAAAGACACGCTATCTTCAGGGGAACAATGACGAGAATTTTCATTGCCTTCTCATCAAACACAATCTAAACTGGAGAACAATGGAATAAAGTAGTAAAGGGCTGAATTTAAAAAACTTAGCCCCAAACCCCCAACAAAAACACTCTAAAAGGTAAGGGCAGAGAAAGATGTTTTCAGATGAAGTCGAGAGAATGTGTGTCCAGCACGCAGGTCCTTCAGTAAATGCTGAAGATGTCCTTCAGGGTGAAAAGACACGGGACCCGGTGAAACTTGGACAAACAGGAGGAAAAGGACAGTCAGCAAGGGGGTAGCAGTGGCGATGCTTTTTCTCCCCACAATTTCCTCAAGGAAGAAACATACCTAATTACATTGTGTGATGGTTTTAAAATATATATGTAAAAGGCACAACCATTGCACAAAGGACAGAGAGTCTCGCATTTGGAGACTTCAGGGTGTGAAGCGAGAAGTGGGCATGAGAAGGCTCCTGTATACTGAGAGAAGGCTGAAGTGATACAATAGTGACTCAGAATAGAATTTGATATAAGGATATCCAGCCCTGGAGCAAAACCACAAAAACAAAAACATTTTAACATAAGGGTTTGGCTAAGAAGCCAGTGGAAGCAGCAAAATGGAAAAATATAAAACATTTTACTATGGGAGATATGTGCAATACTAACAATAAAAAATGTATATTAAAATGAAAGGGGGGGGGGGGGAAGCAAGAACATTTGATTAGTCCAAAAGCAGTCAGGAAAGGAACAGCGGGTGAATAAAAATCAGAGCGGACCCTACAATGGCCAATCATCACATCAAAAGAAGTCCAGCCACCAGGAGGTACCAAGGAAATGCAAATTAAAGTGACAGTGACTGACATCTCACTTCACATCTACTCAAATGGCTTAAATATTTTTTAAAATATATTTTATTGATTTTTTACAGAGAGGAAGGGAGAGAGATAGAGAGCTAGAAACATCGACCAGCTGCCTCCTGCACACCTCCTACTGGGGATGTGCCTGCAACCAAGGTACATGCCCTTGACCGGAATCGAACCTGGGACCCTTCAGTCCACAGGCCGACGCTCTATCCACTGAGCCAAACCGGTTTCGGCATAGCTTAAATATTTTATTTTTAAACCTGACAACACCAAATGTAAAGTCCAAACCCAGGTCTCCATGTCATTCGTTCTGTTCTCACCCGGACATCATCATCCGAAGATTAAGAGTCACTCACAGCTCT